ATCCCCAGATGATTGTGGGCATTATCACTGCAGTGAATAATAACAAGGTAAGTATTATGGTGGTTTGTTGGATTCCTTGTAAAGGTTTCTGCTAGTTGCACATCAATCCAGCTCTCTCTCTCATGCGATCGAAGAACTCCTGATGCCATTTTGCATCGTCTTTCTCTCCATGTCTGTATTTCTAGCCCAGGTAGGCCGTGCCTGTGTAACCTCCCCCTGACACACAGCTTAAATAATCGATCTTGGCCTTTCGCTGTAAGAGCCTGCGCAGAACTCTAGAACATAGCGCCGCAGTCCGGATATCACCTCCAGAGAAAGCAAGGCCAGTCTCTTCAGCCATGGACTCTTTGAGCTGTTAGGTTAATAAAAGGTTAACAAAGCAAGGTCGATATATGTCTCATTCAATTGATATATTTTTCAGTTGACATTACAAAAACTGACTTCATTTTTTCCTGTTGAATTTAATGTTTTGTTATGTTTACGTCAAAAGTAATGCGTTTTATACCACAGTTGGCAGTAATGTGCTGCGCCTCGTGAGTCCACAACAAGTACTTACCACTGTTACGACGAATATCCGGTTGTCGATAAGAGTACAGACCATGCTAATCCACTATCGATTTGTCTATCATACATGATCAAGTGACTCGGATGTATGAGACGGCAAGGGAACATCAAGGCCGAATGAAGCGCCGAGAAAATCGCGACCGGAGAAAGTACGAACCAAACCAGGAGATACGTTACGGAGACTTAGCTTTAATCAATCTCGTAAAATCTCGGTCCCAATACGCCGGTAGCTTGGAACCAAAACTTAAGGAGTTAACTCGGGATGAACGCGGGACGTGAACAGTGAACAATGAAAGGGCGTACGATGTAACAACTAAAAATCAGCGGGAGAGAAAGACTATCCGTAAATCAAAAGGTACAAAGGCCAACAGTAACTGAAATGTCACGCAAAATTCAAAGTCACGCATTTAAAGATGTAGATAGTGACCTTATCCCACTCTTTTACATTGACAAACTGCTCCGTTAATGATTAAATAGCACTCGATTAGTCGGACTGCACTGTAGGATTTTTTAAAATGAGCAAATACTGCTTTTCATGTTTCGTTTTTAGCGCATACTGTAAGAAGGCTCGGACTATTGAAGAAAAAAGCTTCTATCTGACATGCCCTTGAGTGAAATGTTTACAGTTAAAATTACTGGTAGGTTGCTGAATACGAAATATTGATTGTAATTTTCCAAAATGATCTCACGCTCAGCACTAAGACGAGAAATTTCAGCTTTTAAACATTAAAAGCACTCAACGTTTATATCCTAGATCCATCCGTCAACTTGAATCCAACATCCGTTATTCGAAAAACTTTGCTTTTGTAGCTTAGATACTACTGATCAGTTACCCGAACAAGAACTGATGTTGATTGCAAACTGAGAAGATGGAATAATTTGAGGCTTTTAACAACTAAGAGGAAAAATTCCAGATTCGAAACATAAAAGTATTGATTATTTACATCCTAGATCCATTCGTCAAATTTAACACAATATCATTGATTAGTTGATGTCCGTGGCTGTGGTGTTATTGAACTAAAATTTAAACTGGGCAAAAAAAGTAAGCAAAAGCAACCAAATCTTGACGCGAGAGAGTGAAAAATAATGAAATCTAATCATGCCCAAAGCAAAGTAACATTACCGTTTATGAAGACAAAAGGATAAGGAAGAAATAACCTACTTGTCTGCACGTTTAAGAAAAATAATCATCAGCTGTAAAAATAAATGTAACGAATAGAAGTATTGGTGAAGGCTGTTCGTACCTATCGGTGTAAAAAAAAAAGATGACTTCGACTCCTAATCTTATTATAACTTGCAACACTTCTCTTTGATTTACTTTACTTCCATAGTAGCGGACTATTTCTTTTGTCTTTGATTGGAAATTTTTTCAATGTTTTATAGTTGTTATCAGGAAATGAGCAATTTAAACGAAGGGAAGATAACGATGACGTCACTTTAACTTAATTGAAGGCCGTTAAGGCCGCAGCCACGAATCCTTCGATGGCCTGAGTGATTCGAATGCAGTTGTGTAAGAATATCGACTAGCTTTTTTTTCTCAATGAATCTCTACTTTTAATCGTAATTACGTTCCAAACTTGCTCCAAATGGCTGCAAGATAAAACTAATTTTTTGGCACAAGCCTGGCATACGCTTGTGGAGTCGACCGCGATCGCTAAAGAGGGTTGCTTCCGGGAATTGAACTCGCTCGAACGTGTCCAATACGTAATTTAAGGACAAGACACAGACCATTCATAGCGGTTAAATTATCTATTCAGGAGGTTTCTAAACAATTACAACTGGACCGCACTTCCAAAATACACATGCCTGAAAATAGCGAAACCTCGATCGTTTTGGCCCAGTCTCAAGAGTAGATTAAGTACATGCTGAAACTTACTTAGGGTATATTCAGCTGTTAAAACCCCTTAGAAGAGTTCGGCGACGTTCACGTAGAAATTCATAAAATGATGGAAAAGACTTCCTTAGAGCTTTCTGCGTAAACTGACGTCAGTACTCAGAGAGTTGTTGGACCCAAATGTCGATCAGTTTGGCCCGGTCTTCAGAACAGATTCAAAATTTGCCAAAATTTACAAAACTCGCTCTTAAATTCTCATTTTACTTTTGCATCGGGTGAATGTAGTTATTATAATCCTTCATATAACCATTTGGCTGAGTTATAACTTCCTGTGTAAATTTACTAAGATTAGAAAATCTACATTTAAATTATCCGGCACTGCTATTTTCCCAGACGAGGTAAAATGTCTAAAAAGGGTACTTTACGTTCATCTCGCTTTGTGGAATAGAAACTGCAACTTATATTGGCAGCCATCACACAAAAATAACAGCAAGGTAGCTTCTCCAGGACTTAACCCTTTGTTTGCGCTATACTTCGTGAAGTGCACACGTTTTCAGGGTTAAAAAGATATACATTTTAAATAGTAAAGACTGATAAAAAGCAATTTCATCGTTATATCGGCATTCAAAGGCTGACCGTTCGGGCGATAGATCTTTGTTTGGGAGATACGAAAGTTGTTCGTGTGCATTAATAGACTCGATATTTAGGAAAGGCAGAGTTGTGCCACAGGTGGCAACATGTAATTTTAACATTATCAGGGATATTCAACTGAATGAAATTCGTTCACGGTTCCAGTAGGAATTAAGACTTCTGTTGTCTGCAAGCTATGCCGCTTTATACCTATAAAAATCGTACTATGGACTTCGACCAGACTCAAAATTTATCTTCTCCCGCACTCTTTCTCCACACTTTGAACATTTCTTGTCTGAGAAATACTCAGAGTGATTGTCACGTCATCTTGAACCTGCTTCATGGTCAAGGTCACAAACGTAGCTCGGACGACAGAACAACAAACTTGAGAGCAGAACTTATCCTCCTTGTTAACTGGTCCGAAGTCAATCGTCAGTCCATCTTTTTATTGCAACTGTTTTGATGGGCTTGCTGATCTCCACAGGAGGAAAAGAAAATACAGCAGCCGAAGATTTCAAATATCTCGATTTTTGGAACCCACGTAATGGACTGTCGACGCGTTAAGGTGGCTCGTACCGGTTTTCATCTTTTTTATGGTTTGTAATTTTGAAAGAATACAACAGAAAGACTGACCAAGGCCAGTTGAACACTTTTACGGGGTTGAATTATATAATCATTGGTTATCCAAAAATAGGTGTCATTTCGTCAATAGCAGTTTCCATGGCAACGCTTTCATAGGCTTATTCAGACGTATTTTTTAAGCTTGTGGCTTAAATAATTCGAAAACTAACCCGGTGACCCCGTGATTTTTTTCAGTGATTGCTTTTGGCACTTGAAGAGGAAAAATGCACAAAGATTTTTAAAAAATTCTACGGAGCGGAATTTCAGACAATCTAGAAAAAGGCAATTTTCACACATCACAAATTTCCTTCGTAGAATTTTTTAGTTCTTTTTCTGATGATTCCTTTCAACGTTATTATCATATTGAAACAATAAAAAGAAGGGGTCACCGGACTTGTTTTCATGCAATAGCTTTCGTGAGTTTAGCAATTTCCACGCGCGTTCTCGCGCATTTAAAAATCTTGATTCTCTAAGATCAACATTTGCTCATGATCTGTTATAGCTACCGCTGACAATTACGTGTGCTCGCGCGAGCGCCTACGATCTAATGTTTACAAACGTTTACTGCTATGAAAATCATTAAATTATAAACAGCTGTCAAAGACAGCCTCCCGGGTTAATCTTAAAAATCCTACAGACGACTTCTGGCTATATCATAATATTTTCCTTTAAGTTTCAAAGTCTTCTTTCACTTCAGGTAGATTATCCTTCACTTGAGTTCTTCTTTTTTCGCCGTCGCAGGATTTCATATCGATTGAATATTTCTTTTAGATGTGAAGTAGAGAAACCTTTACTTTCTCCGAAAATCGTCTTCTTTATTTTAGTTTCGTGCATTCACAGTGGCCGCTCAACACATCAAATACACACTCTTAGGTGAACTTCTCACAAAAGTAGAATAAAAACCTCGCGCTGCCATCTTTGTTTTAAATTTTCGTCTTTTAATCTCGCGCTTTTTTCGCACTTTTCTCTCGCGTGTGACGTAAGAGTTATCTGTTTCCCGCGCGATGAAACTAGTACGAGCCACCTTAATTTAAATTAAGACGACTTTTAGGTTTAACAAAGAAAACAAATCTTGAGCGACCTTAAACATAAAAATCGAGGCTAAAAGCTCGAACTATGGAAATAAAAATACTCATATTTGTGGAAAAACGATGAACTTTGCACAAATGCGTCGTTCACCAAATGCCGCAGAGAACTTTAAAAATAAGAACTTTTCAAATTTTTAGGGGCAATCGATGACACGAGACGCGACGAAAATCACGTGTGCGAGTGGCAGTCTTCAATTTGAGAATATTTCATGTGCCATTTTAGTATAATCACTTTTTGGTTTTGGTGGTATTTTGGCCAATAAACCACGAACAGTTTTTTGTAACCACTGATTTATTAAAATTTGACTGCGTCAAAATAGCTGGTTGTACATTTATTCGGGTGCATCATGAGTTTTTTCCAAAGAAACCTTGCGTAAGCAATCAGATGAAAGAATTCCTCGAAGGAAACCACGCTGGCCTAATTAACTAAAAATTTTGAGTCACACAAAAAAGCTTTCTAGTATATTTTCACCGAGGAAGCAAGCTAAATCTAACACTGAAAACTTAGTTCGCTTTCTCATTTTATCGAGGTAACACTATCCTCTAACGTCCAGAGCGTGTATAGATTACTCTTTCATAGGGGACAGTGAAGCTTGTTCTAACAGCTTCATTAACGGACATAAACGTCAAGCTATGCCAAGCTATGTCAGATTCCTATAGTGAGGTATAATATTCTTAATTTGGTTATATCAACTAAGTTCAAATTGTAAATTGGCCACCGAAAAGAGTTAAAAAGCCGACATTTCGAGCGTTAGCCCTTCGTCATAGCGAACAATACTCTTATTTTGACTAAAATAGGACCCTTGAAAATGTCCTTGGGCTGAGACCTGGAAGACGCAGTGATCAAGTGGTTAGTGCAGTGGAAAACGGGTCGAAAGTTCCGATATCTGAAAACAATGTCGTTATAATAATATGCTCACAGCCTCGCCTGTCTTGTTCATACTTCTTGGCTATCTCGGTCATCGCTGAGAAATTCAGCGGCTTGTGCCTCAACGCTTGCTCGGAAACCTTCACGGTGATAGGCGGAGAACTGCAAAGGTGTGAAACATTGATTGGCAGTGGAGATGTTGGGGAACTTGTCACAAAACCACTCGGAAAAAAAGCTTAGCCAGGACTTCCTGTTGCAGAAGTTACAGCAGCAGAATGTCAACTTATCGACATCGTCGCCAGTCAAATACGGACTCTCTCCCCAATCATTCGGCTCCAGATTAAAACCAAATTCTTCCCAGGTTTTGACTTCGCTTTGGTCACCTTTGCGCGGATCTCTTGGCCTTATCATCAAAATTTCACCCTCGCCGACTTTTCCAACCTCATCTTGGTAGTACTCAACTTTAAATCTATGCAGAACAGAATAAATGCTTTCAATCAATTCAATTCAGCTCAACCGAGCTCATATTACTTCCACTCAATCAAAAGAATGCTGTAGCTGACGGCGTTTCGGCTGCGTGCTGCTGCTTAAAAATTTAAGCTGAGTGATATAGAAAAACGCACATGAGGTCAAAACAAACTAAGAAGGAACAGAGCAGGCTCATGGTGAAAAAAATTGACAAAGATTTCTAATGACCGATGAAAAATTTAGCTCATTACTTTTTAAGCTATGAGAAACGAGCCGTTAGGTAACTGCCATGAACAACGGCGGAGTCCTAACATTTCAAACTTAGGCTTGAAACGGTCTAAAACTGATATACACTGATCATTTCAAGCTCATGTCGACTGATTGGTCCCTAAATGGAGTAGGGGATGAGACGAGACGAGATGCGTGGATTTCACCGTATTTTGAATTATTTTAGTATGATGAAAAATTTCTATGAACAGCCTCACAAATTCTCCTCCTCTAGGATATCAGTTTTTATTTTGTTCCTGGTGGCTATTGACACATTCCCCAGAAAGAAAATTCTTCATTATCGCAGGGACCAGATTGGTGTAGTAGAAAATACCTACCTATAATATCGTGGTTTCCTTTTTTCATTCGGTTTATTTGGTTTCACGAAGGTCTCGAGCAGGTCTGAAATGACGTCACGACCTTCCCGACTAATGAACGAACAGTTTAACTCGGTACGAGCAAGCATCAGTGCTTCCATTAGATCATCTCCATACCTCTCCTCATCAGAAGTGTAACCACCATTCACTACGACAATTTTCTTGAGTCTGTTCTTTAATAATGGCAGAATCCCGGTATTTTCCGTGTGGCCTCCATCGCTGACTAGCATCACAGGAGGGGGCATGGATCCGACGTTTTTAATGGAAAGGGCTTCTCTGACAAACCCCACAAACGACACGTGTACGATGAACCACCTTGGAAAAAACACGCGATAGATCAGGAAACGGACGGTCTGCGTAAAAAGGTGTCTCTCTCAAACCGTGTGTGACGTCATTAGCAAACCTTTGCCATACTGTATGTTTCGATTTTACGACTCGTTCAGGCAGAAAGTAATGAGACTTAAAGAAAAGTATCAACTGGCAGCTAAATTTATTGTACAGGCACCAAATTCACGAGAATTGCGTTGTGTCGGCATGGTCAACTGTTGAGATTTGCCTTTGAAATCTTAAGATCAAAGGGATATGGAAGACAATGTTTTAATGGAGTTAGCACGGGATCGACGGTTCGGTTCGACAAGAATTTTAGGATTTGTAGTTGTACATTCAGTAAGAACAAGGCAATCTGGACCAAAAAGTTTGCTCCACCACCATCAGTTTTTGGTCTGGAAGATTCACACCATCATTGCTGAAAGTAACAAGTTAAGCTAGAGCAATATGCGACTTGTAGACGCATGTTTTCTGACGCTCTGTGTACTTTGTTCATTTTTAATTTCAGTCCTTTCAACTGCTCAGAATACTTACATCAATCCTATTCCGGGCGATCAATTTAGTAACTAGGAGCGAAATAGTAAACAGCTCGATTGTTCTGGCAGAAGGAAAACCAGAGAGGTCTGGGTTGGGTAACGTGAGTTGTTTACGCGACCCGCCCGAGACCTCCTTCGCTATCATCGCGGTGTCTATTGTCGCACCTTGTTTTGCCTGGAACCGGCTTACTTTCCTCTTATTCTTCTGGTTATAGTCTTTTAAAAGACTTTCAGTCAGTGATATGTGCCCTAATTTATTTAATTCTGACCTGGCTATCTTCTCCCAACAGTTTGGTGTCTCAGCCCCTGTGTCGGCGAAAGCTCCAATGAGGGCCAAAATCAGGTGAATTACAAAGAATACAGTTCCTCCGATTTTAATTAACCATTCACTGCCGGCAGTAAAATAGACCGCTGATATAACAATCAACGGTAGCCCCCGAGTAATGTTAATAACAAGCGGCAGAAGCTGTTAAAAAAGATAAAAATATGCCAATAATTATGCTGAATTTCTCCAGATTTAATTGGAATTTAGAATATTGGTTTTTATGGAGGGAGGAAAACCGCAGGACCCGGGGAAAAACACTTGGAGCAAGGATGAGAACCAACAACAAACGCAACCCACATGTGACGCCAGGTCCGGGAGTCGAACCCGGCCACAGTGGTGGGGGGTGAGTGCTCTCAGCACTGCGCCATCCCAGCTCCTCCTGCATAATTTAGTAATCTAATAACTTTCTTCGCGTTTTATTAATCACCATTGAAAGAAAAAAAACAAAACAAACAACAAAAAACAGAAAAACAATAATCTGGAGTACAGTGTGTGTAGCAAAGATAGAATCAACCTTAGAGACTGACTCTCTATATCAATCTTATTGCAACAACAATCATTCTCAAGTTTGAGCACTTTTCGATTAAGTGCCGCACTGAAATAAGACTTAAACATAAATCGTAACAGCCGATTAGAAGAATGAAAAAATTATCAAACTGCGGGAAAACACAAGTGACACACAACACCTAATAAGAGGAAAGAAAAAAATATTAAATTGCGGGAAAACACGAGTGACCACAACAGCCAATCAGAGGAATGAAAAAAGTTATCAAAGCGCGGGAAAACACGCGTTACCACAACAGCCAATCACAGGAAAGAAAATACTATCAAACCATAAAAAAACACAAGTGACCACAACAGCTGATCAGAGGAATGAAAAAGTTATCAAAGTGCAGGATAATACGAGTGACCACAATAGCCAATCAGAGAAAAGAAAAAGTTATTAAAGCGCGAGAAAACGCGAGTGACCACAGCAGCAAATCCGAAAAAAAAAAACTATCAAAGAGCGGGAGGACACGAGGGACCACAGCAGCCAATCACAGCAAGAAAAAATTAACAAAGCGCGGGGAAACACGAGGAACCACGACAGCCAATCAGTGGTAAGAAAAAGTTATCCAAGCTCGGGAAAACAAGAGTAGCCACTAAAGCCAATCAAAGGCACGAAATAATTATCGGAGCGAGGGAAAACGCGAATGACCAAGTTGCGTTTGGTTTCAGATTTTGATTCTGATTGGTCGAGAGGATGGCACGGGTTTTCCGAACCGGTTACAGATCGAAGTAAAGCAAAACCAAAAAAATTATTTGATTATTTTCGACACTCATTGAAATTTGCCATATTTTTAGCCTTCTAGTGTCGGGTATTTCGTGAAATAATTCTCACCTTCTTGCAACAGGACTCCCTTTTAATCGCCTTCATGTCACTGATCATCGAAGCCCCCATTTCAAATCCCAAAATCGTTGAAAGACGCTTTACCTCCACAGAATGAAAATACCCTGAAATTGCTGCCGCAGACGTGGCCATGGCGTCATCTAAAGCCACATCTCGAGGATCCAGCTTGCCTTCAAAGACATTGACAATCGATGGATCTCGATCTAGGCGCTCAATTTTTGTAGGTGACATTGTGAGTAGAGCATAATCTCTGCCAGAGCTGGGATTTTTCGCCCATTCATGGACGGTTGCGTTTGATATCAACTCAGGTTCCATGCCACGGAGGTCGGCAAGGTTCAACAATCTTTTCTTCGGGGGTGCATTATTAATCCCCCCTTCATCGTTGTTAAGGTTGTCCATCTGTTGGTTTGCGACCTGATTGGACCTCGGTCCTTGGTTTTTTAGCAGACATGTCCACGACGGGCAAAAGGTGTCTTGAAGTCTTTCCAGACATCCCCTGTGTCTTGAACTTTCCTTTGAGTAAAAGGCATTACGAAGTTTCCATCTGCAAATTAGTACAGTTCGTGTGGTCAAGTGAGTGGGAGGACCTCATAATTTGCAGGGGGAAGGGGAGGGGATCATTTAATAACCAGCACTGCTGAGCTGACGAGGATTGCAAATATCTTCCATGTATGAAAGTATTATGTGTTCAAAAGGTGATAACTAAGGGAAAGAAAAAGAACGTGGACGACAACATAATTCTTTTTACGCAAGTTGAAAGATCGACTAAATAAACAATACAGAGATATTCACTGATCAATTCATGACACCGCAGCGCATCCAACGCTTGCTCAATGATAATATCTTATTTTGCAGGATACAACTGTTACTTTTTCATTTTCGTAGTTAATCTCACGCCTCCATTACAAGCCACACAACTTAGAGAACTATATAACCATGCGAAAGTTCTGCAGGCAGAGTACAGGGCTATTATCTTTCTTCCCCACCAGTGACGTAAGAAGGAGCTCAAATAACCGCTGACATTGCTTTTCTGAGACCCCGCACTGCGAGGCCAAAATACCACTTAAGACCATTTTTTCGAGACGGAGTTGAGCCCAAAGACTAAAAGAAAACGTTCAAACATTGATATTTGAACTATAAGCTACATTTTAAAAATTATTTAATTTTAGGGTTCAGTTCCCCTTTAATGAAAGCGTCACATAGAGATAAGTTAAACTTAATCGTGACATGAACAAAATCCTCCATGACAACAAAATCCCTCCCTTTGACCCCCTTTGTGATAAATAATGACCGCTTCCTTACCTGTTAAAGACATGGGTGAGCCTCTCGCGTGACTGTCTCAAATAAGGTACAAACCACAAGACACACCCTGAGGCAAAGAGCAGCTTATTAAACAGCCAATCAGTAAACATAACACCGACGATCTTGGCTTCGTACACTTTCCAGAAGATGATATAAGAATAGAGATAGATTAAAATGCCGTAGAATGTTTTTTCCTCAACATAGGAAGGACGAACCACAGGACCACACCAACCACCACAACAATCGCCCGGCTCCACAGAGGGATTTCAATATAGAAATTGTTTATTGCAAATGGGAGGAAAGTAAAACAAAACAATAAAAAAAAAATATTGAGAAAATTTTGAGATATTTCGATTTCTTTTCGGAAAGCTTTTGCGACAGAATATAAAAAATGAAAGAAAGCACGAACAGAACTAAAAAGAGGATAATCTTAACAAGAGAAGCGGCTCCTTGACGAGAAATACACTGCTTGCGGAGTTCTTGAGTCGTAGCGTGATCGCAATCCACTTTGGGGCGAAGTGACTTTCCGAAGAAATAATCGATACTGAAGGCAAGTGGAAATGCGTATGTTCCATAAATGAAACTCGGTTCAATGAAGGTGACAGTAAGTACAAGGAATAACATTAAAATCATATCAACGATTCCTTGACAGGGCTTCTCCCAGTTACACAGATAACCTGCTCTCTGTCGCATGTTCTCAAAGAACTCTTGATGCCATTCTTCGCTGCCCCTTGCTTCTCTCTCGTTTCTGTATTTCCAATCCAGAAAGGCTGTACCTGTGTAGCCACCCCCTGACACGCAGCTCAGGTAGTCCACCTTTGCTCCAACCTGGAGCAGTCTACGCAGGACTCCAGAGCATAGTGCTGCTGACCGAATGCCACCACCCGAAAACGCCACGCCCGTTCCATTGACATTCATGGTATCTAAGACAAAAATGAAATTGGTAGTTAAATGATCGTGAAACGGACGGCATAATTTCTAGTAGTCTGGTTTTGCACCACGATTTCTAAGAGCTCACCATAGAGTCATTGCACTTCAGTGTTAGAGCATCGGAGCGCCGAGTCGATTCCTCATTACGACTCAGAAGGCCTCGGCAATTATTTTATCGCCTGGTGTAAGGGGGGGAAGGAAGGGTCGGAGGATTTTGGTTGTATCACAATAGGTCTATTTAATCGGCCTAAAGACTCTGTAGTGTTGTAATGAGGGGTACCCCCTCGATAGCAGTCAATATTCTAGAGTCCTCTTTTTATACTTTCATAGCAAAAACTTATCCCTCTTCAATTTCCCCGGAAAACCGTGTGATTTCCCTCAAAATCCTCCGATCCTCCCCACCCGTTCTCTCCAAGTTTTTTTGTACAAAGGCTCAGTAAATATCCAGCACTATACACCTCCACTTCAGTGAATGACTGTTTATGCTATACTTCGAGACGTACTCACATTTACAGTATAAAAAAGATGAACGTCTTAAATAGTAAAGACTGATAAAAAGCAATTTGGTCACAATAGCGGCCGTTAAAGGCTGACGGTTCAAGCGATCCGTCTTTGTTTGGGAGGTAAGATAATTGTTTGTGTCCATTAATAGACTTGATAATCAAGAAAGGCGGATTGTGCCACAGGTAGCACCGTGTAATACGAACATTATCACGGACATTCAGAGTAGCGAAATTCGTTCACAGTTTTGGTAGGAATTAAGATTTCTGTTGTCTGCAAACTATGCTTTATATAAAAATCTTACCTTCGTCTTCGACAAGACTCAAAATTTATCTCCTCCCGCTCTCTTTTCCGCACTTTGAACCACATGGGGCCCACACAA